GCTAGTTTTCTAATTACTGTCTCAATAAAGACCAATTAAATCAATAAGAGACTAACTGTGTCTGACACTGACTGGCCAAATTATCAGAAACCGGTTTTTGAAGTATTAAGAGTAATGTTTGCGATGCGGTATCTTGTGATCAAGGTGAGCTTCCTAACCATCGGAATAATTAATTATAATTTCAAAAATTTTTTGATACATTAGTTTTACATTTTCTTTATTTCGAGAATTTCAAAATTTCTTTCCCCCCTTTTTTTTTACTGCATTCTTATCTGGATTTAATTCTGGCATTTATACTCTCGAGGTGAGGAAGATCACCATGACTAGTTAATAATTGTTATATTCTATGTATGTGAATTTATTAGTTATCTCTGAAGAAGGCTCAAAAATGAGCCGAAACATGTAAGCGCTTTAGTAAAATAAAGAAGTTTCACGCTACGATAGTCGTGTTATTTGCGCAACATCTCCCGCGCTTGACTCCTACTGCCCTTGTTCTTTCATTGTTTTTTGACTTATAAGGAGTCTTAGTTAGGTTGATTTATTATACGTTAGTTCTTTATGTAGCTCAAATCTGTAATTGCTTTTATTATTTAATGAACAAGTTCAAGGATAATCAAATAATTAATCTTGAGAGAACTTCTTTTTATTGCAGATTTTATTTATTAAAATCTACGTAATTATAAACGACACCGGTAATAATTACTAATTACTAAGAATGTTCGATTTGCATTGTTAATTATTAATTATTAGAAAGAAAAAGCTGTTCAAGTTTCGATTTGCAAACAACATGCGCATGTTATAATAAACATTGTTACAATTTACAATAAAAATATTGCGTAAACAAATGTTTAATTTTGCAAAAAAATGTAGATTAACGTATATCTTAATCAGTTTTATGATAAACTTTTGCAGAAATTTAATAGAAAAAATGATAATACATACAGATTCATTATTATGAAAAGAATATTCGATTTCACATTCTCATTTGATGCTAATTTAGCCATTTAATATTCGGCTCAACATAACATTTTATGTGATATGTACATAATGCAAAAACATCTTAAGACATTTGGAGCTATTAAATTAGAAAAAATATCTAGCACAAATACGGATCTCTTTTATAAATTATGTAGGTTTCTCTTCATCAGAAAGAAGAATGAAAGAGATCTAAAAAATAATTCTATATATATGATTCATCAATTTAATTGGTATTTTTTGCTCGCGGTATTCTCTCCAACGATGATGATATTAACGACTCGCTTAATTATTAGCTGTCTACGAATCAAATGAGATTTCGCATGCTCGCGGAACAATCTCACATATATCATTGATGGGCCGCTTCCAATAAACTGTAGCAGCCGCTCTTGCCACGCCATTAATCACCGCGCGAGCAGTACTGCAACAGTAACACTGAGCAACAGCGAACAGAAATATCATGAATGATTTGGGAGTCGGAAACTCGTACCCTAATCATTCAAATTTCTTTTCGAAATTAGATCACTATAAAGGAGTGCTTTGTGCGCAACACTCGCGAACCAAGTCACCTGTATTTTGATTGTGAAGACTCGTACAACCCTATAGGGACCTCAGACCAAACCACGACGCGCTAATAGATAGGATTAATCAATTGAAGATGTTATCAATTATGTCCTACCGCCTCTAAGTCAATAAACGGATGGAATTTAGCTTAGCCCCTATACCTATAGAGGTTTAGAGACAATCCTCGTCTCAATCATATTATGATTTAGAGCATGATGTTGATTGCCCTTCATTTTAGTATACATGTTTCTGCTGAAAAAAATCACGTCACAAAGTTAAATAACGAAATCATGTAATTAAAATAAGTAAATCACATAACGGATTGTTCCAAATCAGTACGTGAATTTTTTAAATCACGTAATTTGAAAAAAATCTCATGATATTAGAAATAATTTCATCAATCATATGACTTTATTGTTATCAAATTTTAAATAATTAAATGATAGAAATAGAGGAAAAAGCAAACCATCGTTTTTCAAATTATGCGATTTTAAAAGATCACGTACTGATTTGGAACAATTGGTTATCTGATTTACATATTTCAATTACATGATATCATTATGTAACTTATTGACGTGATTTTTTTTCAGTAGGGGTATATATCACAATAGAACATTACAACTCTTCTCTAAAGATTGTTTAATCAAACATTAACATTAATATTGACATTATAATCAGTAAACTACTGAAAAATATTTATAATTTTTAATTTAATTTAATTTATCTTTATGTCTATTTATAAAATTAGCAACAATGCTGTTACTTCTAAACCTACCAGATAATACAATATATCATACATATACAACAAACATACATATAAATAACACTCAACACACATATAGTATTTGAATAAGACAATATATTTGAGTAATACATAATTACACTTATAAAACGCTGGGTCAAAATGTCTGCACGTTCTTCGGTTTCATGTAATTTTTTTTTATTCCAGAATTTAAGCTGATATCAAGAGCTTTTCAAAACACTACCATAAAGTGGTATTGTGATTTTTAAGCCTTACAACTCGAAAAGTACTTAATGAAAAAATATTTTATTGTAGTGTTTTGAAAAGCTCTTGACACCACCCAGCAAACATGGTGACGTATTAATGACGTTAAAAGTACGTAATTTTATGACCACTGACGTCAAGTGATCTACAATGTACGTCTTTTGTACATACTTTAATATCATCTTAATTACGCTTCAATATTACGTCTATACATATATCGTCTTTTAATATGTCATGTAGTGACGAAATTTGCATGACGTTAACAAAACATATACGTATAATCGTATAATTTCTAGTGATACGTTTTAAATTGATGCAGGAAATGATAGGGCATATATTATTCTTGTTAATCAATATTTTCAATATTGAAATGTATTGAACTTTATCGATTTCCATATATAAGTTAACGGTTACGACTTCCGTACAACGTATAATATACGGCTCTTGCATACAGGCGCGGAAACGCTTATCGTGTGACAAAAAATACGACACAATAGCCAATCAATCTTTCGCTCTTATGGAAAAGTTGATTGTCGCGTTGCCTTTTGCCGCGCTGCAAGCGTTTCCGCGTTCTATGTGCAACAGGCATAACTACCGTGCTCGACTTTAGAGACTATATAATTGAAAAATAATAACTAGTGTAGGAAATTAAGGGGTTATAGGCAGTCAGAGGCGCAAAAAAAAGGCATTTTTTTCAAATTTTTTTTGGGAAAACGTGTTTACTTTTTCATTCGGGACCTTTTGCGTCATATCAGTCTATGTTTGAAGAACTTATTGTAATTTTTTCGTTACAAAATAATAATAATTGTACTAATGGCGAATATTTTAATGCAACACGTCAAAAAAATGTGACCCTCTCGTGGACATGATATCTTGAAACTGGATCATCTGAAATCAAAATTTCAAAAAGATTTCGTTAGTAGATGACTTTATCTCGTACTTGAACGAAGGATTTCGAAAAAAATTGAATTTTGAATTTTTGGGACAACTTTAAAGTTTGAGTCACGATTTTCACTAAAAAAATTGACTATTTTATGTTTGTAAAACAAGTTCTATTCATTGAAAAAAAAAATCCTTCGTCCAAGTACGATTTTAATATGTGTAAAAGAAGTACGTAAAATTTCAAAAAGATCGGTGCAGTAGATATTGAGATATCGTGTCCACCGACTTTGAAAACGTAGTTTTGAGAAAAACGCGTTTAAAGTTTTCAGTGCGAATAAAACCTGGATAATTTTTTTTTTTTCAACTTACACAGTATCATCGATTCCAGGCCCATAAAATAAGTCCTCCATGTCTTCCAAAATGTCCAAGTTTTCCGATTTCTGCTGTCTGCGTAGGATTCTTGCCTCCCGCGTAGCAAGTTGCGCTCTGTGCTCAGCGATGGTAATTCGATTCTCGTCCATTTGGCGACAGTACTCGTGGGCGTTGTGTCCTAATTTTGATCCTATTGAGTACAGCATAGTTAGATGTATTGATGATCCTTCATTAAAAACGGAAGCTGCAATCTTAGCAGCAATATTTACTATTGTAGAGCCACTAGGAACAGTTTTGGGCGTTATTTTCCAGATCAACTGGTTGTAGCTTTCATTGTTGTTTTGGTTAAAGCCACCAACACATCTTTGTAATAAGGCTTCCGCGCTTAAATCGTTGTAAACTGGACGAATTGCTTCCAGTACTTCGCTACTAAATGCATCATATGAGTGCACGTATGATTCTAGCTTACCCATGGCTGCAGCGCGCTGCCACTCGCACCAAGAGTCTTGGCCGACAGGACACAAATCGTGTTGGGTATTATCCTGCGGCACATTGAAGTCTTCTAGATGCTTTACTTTTTTTGCAGATGCACTGTAACTCGACGAGTCAGTTTCAACAGTTTTTGGGTTGAAACTCTGTTTTCTTTTTCTGGTTCTGTCTTTGCGAGTTGCACTTTCTTCTCTATTTTTTCTACCTATTTTGTAACGATTCATATTTGAACACTACACGAAATACAAAAGAAACACACAAAGCGTACTATTCAACGTCCAATTCAATACTAACGGCTAACGGTTACTGGCTTTGAATAGAAATTTGTTTATATCTGCGCATCGCCGGCGTCGAATGTGACTTACAGCAGCTCGAACGGTCGGGGCTTGTAAACACTTTCACTCTTACAATTTTGCTCGGATCGACTTGAAATTTTAGGACAACATTCCTGAGATACTATACTTTAATATAAAAAAATAAAAAAAAAATCGATTTTTTCAAATTTCTGACTGCCTATAACCCCTTAATTAGCGTAGTGTAGTAAATATTTATCTTAAGGGGGTAGTCTGCTTTACAAGGTCAAAAAAATCGTTTTTTTTTTATTGCTTAAATAGATAGATAAACTATCCAAGAATATATTCTCAAAAGGATAAATTCCTATTCAAAGTATTTGTGACGATATAAGGCCGAGAGCAGGTAGGCACGGAGCGCGCAGCGGCGAATGCCGGTCCGTTCCGAGCGCGCGCCCGTCCCTCGATCCCCTTACCTGAAATATGGCTTTTCAAAACAATACTTAAGAGCCGAACAAATTCATCTTCATGAATACTACGAGGAAGCTGAAGGCCTCTTATATAGTGCAGGAATCGCTGATTAGCAGATTATTGATGTAAGTAGTCAATAAATCAAACTTTTTCCGACCGCAAACTTTAAAGCGTGTTTTCTCGAGTTTTCATTTTTACGATTTTTCCTAAACTGCGTACACGATAGCAAAAAAAATATTTGACCGATCGACAAAAGCCAAAGTGCATTCTCTTCACAACTAAATTCCCTTCTATATGAACCAAAAAAATTATTAAAAAAGTCTTTTTTAATAATTTTTACATCAGGTCAAAGTCAAATTTAAACATGTAAAAATGGATAATTTGTGTTCAAACTACAAATAATCATCATTATGCCTCTTTTTCGGAATTTTTTAAGTTCATATAGAAGATATACATGTCTAAATTAATAATCAGTTTAATTTTTTCATTTCAGACAAGAATTGCGAGCGGCATCGTGTACGCAGATGGACAACTCCAGAGCCGAGGCGCTCCACACAGTAGCCTCTACATCCGCCATTTTCTATTAAATTGCTCCATAAAAATTCACTTTATACTCTTTGAATACATATTAAAATGAGGCATAAACGTTTAAGAAACTTAATTATTTTTTCCCTTCTAAAAAAATTCCCAAAATATTGCTATTTTTTGGCCTTGTAAAGCAGACTACCCCCTTAAGGTTAAAACATGCCCCACAATGCTATTTTATAGAGAGGAAGAAACAGTAACATGTCATTATACTTCTATTTTTAAATGACGTCATCGGTATGTGACATTTCGACGTGATTTTTACATTCCATTGACGTTATGTTTTGGTCATTAATGATTAACTTATGACTAAAATCTGACGACAAATCATGTTTGCTGGGCAGCTATTAAATTTTGACATAAAAACAGTGTTCCATTAAAAAAAATCGATTTGACTTTAACCTAATCTTGGTAATGCCCCATTACAAAATCTATTATTTTTACCTTCTTTCCCCTAAGAAAACCTATAACTTTTATATAAAACTTTTTCCTGTATCTCTCTTAGTTTCTGAGATATGCACCTGGGGCGATTAAAATGCCCTATCCTGTATGTCACAGAAGTATTTACTTTAGTATGTATACCTACATTGACAATAAATTATCCTCTGGGGTAAGCCAGAAAATGTCAACTATAAGAATATTGAATAAAAAGTGAAAGTTTTCATTACAAATTTTGAAGTTGATTTTGAGAGCTCCTATATCTGCGCTGAAGATCAGATGTGTATCGCTGTTTGATATATTTAATAAAACCTTACAATTTTTGTATGAAACATTTTCTAGTATTACGATTTCTAATTTCTAAGATTCCAACACTTCTGCAATATGAAAGAAAACTTTTTTAAGTAACACATAAAAATATAAAAACGTAATTGCTATCAATGATATAATTTGGAACATGAATAACAAATGAGCAAAATCAAAATTGAACTTTTACTCACGAATAATTTTAATTGAATAATAATTTTTCATAGAAACGTATTCCAGGAATTAGTAATGCTATCAAGTGACATTCTTCATCGGATTCTTGTCGTTTCTACGTTGAATATTCAACCAATATCCATCCTCTGGTATCATTATCAAATGTTTCTTGCTGAATTTTATTGGTAAACTTTTGACGCAAAGTTCCAACTCGCATTTCGCTAATATATGAAATAGTACTACTTTGACTATAAGTAGGCCAAATCTTTTTCCAATGCAAATCCTCGGCCCTAATCCGAATGGAAAATAAAACGGAGGATCATGATCATTATCTAAAAATCTTTCTGGACGAAATTCCATGGGGTTGTCGTAATATTTGTCATCATGATGAATTGCATAAATCGGAATCCATATAATCATGCCCTTGTATATAGTAAAAGGCTTTTCGCCCGGCAATGCAGGCGGCAATTTATAAGCTTCTTTACATACTCTTTCTACAACAGAAGGTGAAAAAAGTCTGAGAGCTTCCTTTATTACTGCATCTAAATATTTGAGTTGATTAATAGCCTCATAAGTTACGCTTCCGTTCAATTTGTCCAAGAGCTCATCTATCTCTTGTCGTAATTTGACCTGAACACTTGGATTAGTCACGATTTTATATGTTATAAAAGACATCACGCTTGAACTAGTTTCGAAGCCAGCAAAATAGAAAGTGTAGGCTTGAGCGAAAATATCGTCTATATTCAATTGTATCTGACCCTCTTTGCCTCTGTTATTCAACATCAATTGTATCATATCCGGACGTGTAACATGCTCGGCATTGCGAATGGCAATCTCGTTCTTTATCCTGCTCTCAAAATACTTCATTTCTTGATTATTTAAAAGTTTTATATTAAATATTCGTCCAAGCTTCGGGAAGGTCCTAACAAAAATGTACTTTATGCTGCGTATTGCTGACATATGAGTTATATCTTTGCCACAAACATAGAACTTGTTTGTCGGATCTCTTACAGAATCGATCTTCATTCCGTAAATACATAAGGCAATGACATCGTTCGTATATCTATCGAAAACATCTTTTATATTTACATAACTTTTATCCGCTGGTAATGTTGAAATTGTTTCAGCAAAATCCGCAGCATGTTTCGACATTAAATTAAACGTAGTCTTCATCTTATGAGATGTAAAGAAAAAATTTAGTAAATTTCTTATGTTTCGCCACTCTGTATTTTGTAAAGAAAACAGACTCTGCGTAATCATATAGTCATTAAAATTGTTGAAAGTGGGACGATTAATAAACTTATCGGAATTTTTGATGATAATAGCCTTGATCAGTTCCGGATCTCGTAGCATGAGAACTGGCTCCGTTGTGGCGTATAATCCAATGTACTTTGCATATCGATTGAAATTGTATATTCTTCGGGTAATATCAACAAATGACATTTGGCGAAGTATAATTGGTGTCATGACACCTAATATCGGAATAGATGGTATGTGAATGATACCATGTCTTTTAAAAAAGTTGAAATTTTTGAAGAGATAATAACCGATGAGAGCATTAATGATGATTGATAACACTGAGATTGACCAGTATTCCATGATAAGTATTACTCGAAAACTTTATATTTTAAGAGAATTAAAATGATACTTATTAAAGTTCAACAAAACTATTCGCGAGGATAATTGGTAAAATATATAACAGGCTAGCGATCTTATTGAGATCAATAACTAGAAGCGACTGTCTCCTCATTAATCCTAAGCTCTCTGTAAAGGCGCTAGTGTAGTTGTAGATGAATATGGAAATAACGGGATAAAAGAGGGAGAAAATACCGCGAGGAAAGAGGATCGCATGATATTACTATGACAGAAAGAAAGAAAGAGAGATTAGATTAGATATCATCAGTAGTAATATCAGGGCAATTCTAACTCCTCCGAGAGGTGAGCGGGGCGCGGGGGGTATTCGTAGGCGCGGGGAGGGAAGGGAGGGAAGGCCCAGTATGGGGCCCCGCCGCCGCCGCCGCCACAAAATAATCATTATGTATTATAGTATTCATTTTAAGATTTTGTAACGTCTATACGACTTCCTAAGGAGCACAAAGTTATGAGAAGACTTATATAACTTCATAAAACGTGTGTACCATTTACATATCGAAAAATTATACGACTAAAAAGTTAATGTCGGTTATATAACTATTTGTAGTTTATAAAACGTCTATAGAAACACATAACATTTAGTCAATATATGTATATTCATTAGAAATTTGTATAACGTCTATACGACTCTACACAAAATAATCATTATGTAGTATTCATTTTAAGATTTTGTAACGCCTATACGACTTATATGTTAACAATCTTATAATACTCATTACAAGTTTTTAAACCGCTTATGTAACTCCGTATATTTCAATTCAACTTTTGAGTTGAATTGAATGTCAGGTTTTTAGGACATTTATACAACTGCAAAGACAAACGTTGTTGCGTTGAAATAATGTGTATATTTATAAAACGGTACGTACATTATAACTCACATTCTTTCAAAAACCATGCTTTACATTTTTTTTATTCGCCTCTAAAAAGAACTGCAATGTAAAAAAATCAGTTTTTTCGGAAAAAATATAAAAGTTGAATTACATTGTTGCAAATTGTTTATGTCCTAATAAGGTTTTTGAATGTTACTATCCATTCAGTCACCTTTCTTACTGTTTGGCGTATCGCCGGGTAAATTTTGCCACCGAATGTGGTAGATTTCGATGGCAAATATAATATGGTAGTCTAGGGTTAAGTCTAGAATTGATTGAACAATACTTTGACAAATATAATCGTTAAGTTTTAAATTGAAATATTGATTATTAACCAAATTATTATATAAAATGTAAATGGATTACCATAATACCACCTCCGTTACTTTAATTTACATTGCTTAAATTCGTCGAGTTTAAACGCGCGAACTCGGTTCAATTTCTATCTCCCAACCACACATATCAACGATACTATTTTCAGACTTAACAGTGTAGAAGTACCTTAGCTCTTATTTGTCTAAGAGCAAGAGATTATTTTTATTGCTGAAAATTGCTTGAAATTGAGTGGAAACATTCGAAATCGATAGATTTAAGCAATGTAAATTAAAATATTTTATACACTTACGGATCACGTTCCACTTGCCATATTGTCTTTTATTAGTCCTTTTATTGCCTATATTTCTTACTGAGCAATTCAACAGCTGTTTCATATAAAATTGAAAAAATAACTTATATTTATCACTTACATCGCTTCATCGTTATCTCAAATTTATTGTCTGTCTCTAAATTTACAATATCCTGAATATATTTTATATATATATATATATAGAATATACTATGTATATTCTATATACCAAACGATTTAATAAAAATTATTTCGTCTTTATAGGCTTTATGTGCATATTACATTTGATGCTATAGTTTACTTTTTATATATTTCATTTACACAACAGATTATAATTTAATTATATGCTACAATTTATTTTATTTAATACATAAATAGTTATCTTACTATTTGTAAAATATTATACTTACAAATTGATGACATAATAAAACTTTCCATCAAAGAAAAAAAACAAAGTTGAAAAAACGAAGTTGAATTCATCGTTCAAATTCGAACGGAACACGTGTCTTGAGATTGCGTATGTCACTGTCAATCAATGCTACAACCTTTTTTTTACCCATCCTTTATCGACGACCGTCGGTAGCAGCAATCAGGACCCGCAAACACTCGAGTTGGAAATTCGATTTACGAGCTGTTTAATTTCCACCAGTTATTCATTAGCTGGTTAACAACTCGTTATTAGAGCGAACTGAATTATTACACGCGGGAGATTCCTCGCTTATATGCGTGTACATACATCTCGGTTTTCGAATCTCGTGATGTACCAATGTTGTGTTCCGCAAATGGACGGAACCTGGCATATATACTCAAAATGATAAACAACTTTCGTATGATAATATGCAGAAGATCGTATCTTTTCTCAAAAATTATTGGTGAAATAAAATTATCATTTTAACAAAATTAAATTCTAGCTGAATAAGATAATATCCAATATATAAATATATATAATGTATATTATAAAAATAAAAGCAATGTGCATATTACATTTGATGCTATAGTTTACTTTTTATATATTTCATTTACACAACAGATTATAATTTAATTATATGCTACAATTTATTTTATTTAATACATAAATAGTTATCTTACTATTTGTAAAATATTATACTTACAAATTGATGACATAATATATTATTATAAATTGTTATAATAATAAATTTTTATGATATTGCATAACTAAAAAATTAATTACTATCTTTACTCTCAACATTTAAAAATAGTAAATCAAACAGCTTAAATCTACACTATTGGAAAAAATGTGTCGAATTTAACATAAACCGCATGTTGCAAATGATCCACTCAAATTTTTGGATTAATTTAACACAAGATAAATATGTTAGAATGTCATACAAATATAATATTATGTAAGAAAATAAATATAAAAAAAGTAGTAATATCGACATAGTTTATCAGCAAACCGTGGAAGTATATTTTTTTCAGAAAATTAACATTTATATGTTAAATTAATTTACTATTTTATTCATTTGTCTTAGAATTTACATTTTAAAACACATTGTTTTTATGTTACTTGTTCACTTACTCATAAATTGTGTTACTTTGACACTAAGAAACATTGAATATCAATTTCGCAAAAAATCTTTAAATAACATAATCACATTATGTTAAATTAACACTCGAATATGTTAAAAAATTCAAGACAAACTGTTAATACAGAACGTGAGTGGACCATTTCCAACACAAATACACAATTTTTTTTATTGTGTATCCAAATAAATTTACGTTTAGAAAAAAAGGAAAACTTAGAGGATAGCCTAAAACTGATTTCTCAACGCTGGACAATATAAATAAGATGCCAAAAATTCGTGCTTGATTCAATAAACTTCAATAAGCTACTTGTGTTCAATAATAAGTCACTATTTGTCATCATCGTGATAATAATTTCAGCATTCCATCAAAGCGTCTCACATTCTTAAACGGTTTTATTATTACCAAGGCATAACTCGCATCGCACTGCGCGCGCGAATAATAATTCCGAGACAATAATATCGCGAAGTTGGATCGCGTTGCGCGAGTAATAAAATTTGCGATCGCAAGCGAATTTGATGATGTTAAAGAAGGGAAAAGTGGATTCCATTTAAATATCAAATTATATTCTTATAGATACGAAATTTTTTAAATAAATAAATTTATATGTATTATATATACGTTATTTTTATGTTTGTTGCAAAATTTTAGTATTTTTACATATTATTATAATTATTAAAAATATTCCTAGCAAAAAATCTCATTTTTGCACATTACTCTAACATTTTAGTAAAACTACATAATTTTATAAAACAAATAAAAGAATATAAAATTTAATAAAATATGACATATAATAAATTTATAGATATATCATTATTATTATTATTATTTTATTTCTAACTCGCGAGTAAAAATAAAACAATAAAAAAGACATAATGAACCGTAGCCATCATCGATGCTATATCACACATCGACACGATTTGTGAATAACAGATAAAAATAAGTTCCAAATATTCATATTACGTTAAGCAGAGTTATAAAACAATTTGTTACTTATAAATTATGCATAAGTAATGCATGTGAAAGAAAATAGTTAAAAACTAATATGATCGAAGAATTACTTATTTCTAATTTCTAAAGAGCTACTACAAGTCTAATTTAGCAATAATACATTCTTTAAATTGTATATCATATATTACAATATCTATGAAGAAATTATTAAAAGAAATTATTAAAAGAAATTATTAAAGAAATTATTAAAAATTTCTATCAAAACAGTACAATATCTTTGGTGTGCTATTTAAATAACTCAATAAAACTGATTTTTGCAAAATAAATATAAAAATATAAGATATATAATAAACTTATCACTATTATTATTGTAGTTCTGATGAACATGGATAAAAAATAAAATATTATAATATAAAAATACAATAACCTTTAGACATACTATTAATACGAAATGGTCGACACTATTAATACGAAATGGTTGATACGTTTTATGAACCATAAATAAAGAATAGCTTGAAACTAAATCTTGTGTGCCTTCCAACAAACGACACAGATGATACGGTATGACACAATGAATCATTACATCCTCGTTATTTGCCAATGTTAAACAAAGATGAGATGATCACTGTGTTGTATTATGTCGCTTGTTGGAAGGCACACCTTATCTATCAATAAGCATTTAAAAGAATAATTCTGTTGAATCTCAACAAAGATATTATAAAAACATTTTTCATTTAACATAAATTTCAAAAATAATTGACTACGTTTACACATCATCATTAATCTGGTTTAATAACATAGTTATAATCCTCTGAAATGTATACAATCGAAATGGTTTTAATTTATCCTATCATAATTGAATATAATGCTTTATTTTTAAATTGGCAGCATTATAGTCACTTTATTTTAAGTTGGCAAAACAATTTTAAAACATTTATATCTTCCTCTTAAAAACA